TAGTAAAATTTAATAGACAATATCAAAGACCAGAGCCAGGCGCAGTGGCGCACACCTGTAATCCCAGCAGCTTGAAAGGCTGAGGCAGGAGGATCATAAGTTCAAAGCCAGCCTCAGCAAAAGCGATGCACTAAGCGTTTTAGTGAGACCCAGTCTCTAAATAAAATACAAAATAGGAGCTCCAGTGGCGCAATCGGTTAGCGCGCGGTACTTATAAATAAAATACAAAATAGGGCTGGGCATGTGGCTCAGTGGCCGAGTGCCCCTGAGTTCAATCCCTGGTACCACACACACACACAAAATATTAAAGACCATTGCACTGCAGTAAAGGTAAGTATTGTTTTGTGACACTTTTGTCATATACACAATCTTTGTGTATACTGGGTCATTAAAATGTTAAATGTACTTGCAGTGGGTTGCAGTCAAAAAATTTTTAACCACTGACCTCAGGCACAAGATCTGATGATCTGCTACAGCACACAGCTCCGGCCTCTACCACTCACCCAGAGCTTCTGTACTCACCTTTACTCTCTCCCCCACCTAGGTCCTTTGCCTGAGCCCTTCACCAATGGGGAGATACAGAAGGTAAGCACAGTCCCCTACTTACCTCTCTGGCTCCCAACCCCAGAGGTGCAGGAGATGGGTCAGAAAGTGGCACAGTTGGGAGGACAGCCTTTGGCTCAAGCTGAAGCCTCAGGGCCCAGTTCCAGCTCCTTCCTGAACTCCACACTATAAAAGTGCCAGTGTACCCCTCACCCCTGCTGAGGGCCAAGACTGTCACGCAGGAGAGTTCTGGCTGGGCCCCTCAGCAGCCCGCCGTCCTGGGTGACAGGCCCCCACTTCCAATTCCCCACCATACAGAAGAGACCATTCTTCCCCCCAAGAACAGAGCTCCAGTGTCTGGCCACATGCTGCCAGCCCTGCTGCTTCCAGCCTGGGTTGGAAGAACAAAGCCCCTCCTCCCAGGCACAGGGAAGCGGGTGAGGCCGGGGAAGGAATGGCAGGCTGGGTGCCAGCTGAAGCCATGGAGGGACCCAGGAAGGGGCTGAACGCCAAGCTGACGCCCCAGCCAAAGCCTTCACTCTGAGACAGCCGACTCAGGCAGGCCACAGAGAGGAGTCTGAAGAAATGGTTCAAGGCTTCTTACTCAGGGGCTCCTGCCTGGGGCCTTCTGTTACCCTGTCTGTGGGTTAGTACCCCTCCGTCCTGCTCCTTCAAGACCCTGCTTCACTGATTTGGGGTTAAGGTTTGGAGGGCCATGGAAGGCCCAGGAAGCAGGACATATATCCTCCATGTCACATAGAGAGGGCTCTTGAATCCCTGTTACAAGAAACCCCTCAGAGTCACTGGCCCAAAGGCAAATCGATGCCCAAAGCCATGGTGGGCAGGAGGAGGGAGAGAACCATTCAGTAATCCCACCCACCCAGGTGATGGAGGAACCGGGCTGCCTGATCCTTTAAGGAATGTAAAAACGTAAAGCTGGAGTCTGGGCTGATGGCCAAGGCCTGGGCCTTGCTTCTCAGACTGAGATTTCCAGCTTCTCTGATCAGACATTTCCTGCCCCATTCCCCACAACCCCCATACCTTCCTTCCTATGACAGGACAACAGTCGGGAAACCCTGCCTGAGACAGCCTCAGAGAGCCCCAGGCCAGCCCTGGCGAGATCCACCTCCAGCGATACCAGTGAGGAGGTAGGGCTGGAGCAGGGGTTGGCAACTGGGTTAACGGAAGCCGATTCCCAGGCCACTCTGGCTCCTGGCACAACAGACTGCCTTGGAGGTCACATGCTGAGGCGCACTCTGTTCTTGTGACCTGGCTTCCCCTGGGCAGGGCCTCAAGGGAGCCACCTCACTAAGGCTGAGGACCGGGGAGCCTCACCAGCACTGACTGCCTGCTTTCTTCCCCTGTTCCTCTCTACAGCTAAATTCCCAAGACAGCCCCAAGAAACAGGACTCCACAGAGCCCTCGTCTACCTCCTCCTCTGACCCCATCTTGGACTTCAACATCTCCTTGGCCATGGCCAAAGAGAGGGCCCACCAGAAGCGCAGCAGCAAGCGGGCCCCGCAGATGGACTGGAGCAAGAAAAACGAACTCTTCAGCAACCTCTGAGCACCTGTCCACCAGCTGCCAGCCCCTATCTGACCTCCTCCCCCACCCGCTCCCCAACTGCCCACCAATCGACGTTCAAATCAGCACCAGCGTCTCCCTTGATGAATCCGATTTCCCTAGAAACTTTGTCCTTCCCTTACCTTAGGGAAGGCGACTTTCTGTTGTCCGTTCCAATCACAGAACAGATTCTGTCTCCCCCTTCCTGAGGGCTTAATCCTACCAGTTGTTACCTTGCTACACTGCCTGGGACATCACTGGGACCCATGCCAAGCAAGGACTGTGGAGCCAGGCCAGAGGCCATCCTCCTTCATGACCCCATGTAATGGCTGGGTCTGAGGCCGAGCAGGAAGCTGACTGCAGCAGCCCCTGCTCACCGTGGACAGGACTCCCATCCTGGGAGATGTGGCTTGGGCATTTTTTGTTCATTTGATTTTTTTAAGAGTACAGTATTGCAGAGTTTAGAGGGATTTTTGTTCTTTGATTCTCATGATTTTCCTGGTTGTTGCATCTGGGACATGGCAGTAGCCTCAACCTGAAATTTTTGCCATCCCCCCCTCCCCTGCCACACACACACACACCTGGGCAGCCTGGGGAGGGCTTGGCTGCCCACTGCCCTTCCCTGAACCAGGCACCACCATTGTAAGGAGACTCCTTCCAAAATTCAGCTGATTTCTCCAAACTACGCCAGCCTCTGCGTCTTCCTTTGGAGCCTTGTCCTCCTTCTGGGTGGAAAGTGGGAAATAGAAAAATAAGTGTTGGGCTGGGGTTGTGGCTCAGTGGTAGAGTGCTCGCCTAGGATATGCAAGGCCCTGGGTTCGATCCTCAGCACCACATAAAAATAAATTTAAAAAAAATTATATATATATATATATATATATATATATTTAAAAAAAAAGAAAAAGAAGTGTCCCCAGGTTGCTCAGCTCCAGGCGTGTGCCCTGCCTGTGTGGCCCCTATGCAATCAGGACAGTTGTGAAGTGGGAGCTGAGAGTCAGAGGCTCCACTGGTTCCAGGGGTGCCGCCCAGAGGGGCCTGGGGGGCGTGGCAGCGCACACCTGTAATCCAAGTGACTTGAGGAGGTTGAGGCAGGTGAGTGCAAGTTCAAGGCCAGCAATTTAGTTAGGCCCTAAGAAACTTAGACCCTGAGGGGAAAAAAAGTGTGAAGGCTAGGAAGATGCCTAGGATGGAGGCAGCTCGGTGAGCAAAAGCTTCGACTCTGCCCATAGCCAGTGGGGTGCAGGATTCCTGGGAGCAGGCTGAGCTGGCGCCAGATACTCTATCTTATCTGGCCACTGACCTGATTGGAGGGCAGCTGTCCAGCACTGGGGGAAAACAAACTGGTCCACTGAGCCCCAGGACATGCTGTGAAACAAGGTGGGATCTAAGGGACTTTCCAAGGGCAAAATGCCCTGCTCCTCTGCAAGAGGCCCAGGTCCCTGCTGCCTCCACCACCTGAGGCCACATCCTGGAAGTCTGCCCAGGGCGGCCTGTGAGAGCTGAAGCTGCAGGGCCAGGAGGTCCCAGAGCAGGTGCTCAAAGAGCAGGTAAAGTTGGCCCTGGGGCTTTCTTCACTTAACCTTCAGGGAGGCCACTAAGAACCAGGTTCCTGGATTAAGGGCAACAAGTTAGTAAGAGGCAAACCAGGGAGGGGAACTATGGTGCCCTGGGGGTTGAGAAGAGGGCCAGCCACTATCTGGCCATCTCATCTCCCTCATCACAGCACCCACTGTCCTGTGCTTTGCTCAGCTGGGCCTGGCCTCTCCCACCCGACGCTTGCCTCTGTCCTTTTGGCCCCAGATGGAGCACCCCCACACACACACACACAGGTGGAGCAGGTAAGGATAGCCCCAGAAGGCCCCTCCCTACCTCACCTGCTAGGCGGAGAAGCCCTGGTAGACCTTTGACTTTAAGACAGGGACAGGTAGCTCAGAGGGAAATGTCACTTAGGGGCTGGGGCAGAGTACAAAGCTCTACAAGATCTTTGACTTTAGATCCGCGAGTTTTTCAGCTGTAGTCTGATGTGAGACGAAGGTGGCTGAAAGACCTAGAAGTGTTTCCCCCCTCAAAATGCCCTATACTTGGCCTTCTATGGTTTTGAGTTGTTGGGTTTTTTTTGTTGTTTTGTTTGGTACTAGGGATTTAACTCGGGCACTTATTATTATTGGGCTACATCCCCAGCCCTTTTTATTTTTTGAGACAGGGTCTCTAGAGCCTTGCTAAGTTGCTGAGGCTGGCTTTGAAATTGTGACCCTCCTGCCTTAGCCTCTTGGGTCACTGGGATTACAGGTGTGCACCACCATGCCCAACCAATGGTTGTGTTATAAAACATGCCTGGCCTTTCTTGATGGGCAACCCAGATGATGACAGGCTGTGGGGGGACAGAACTCAAGGGGTTACTCCCCACCCCCGCCCAAGTGGGGACCTAGCATGGCTCTCTTGTAAGCAGCTATTGCCAGGAGGCCATTCCGAACCTGTGCCTCTGCTGCCCCCTCATGGCCAAGCCAGGTGCAGTGGCCCTCTGGGCAGAAAGTGAGGAGCAGGAGGGACAGACAGACCTACCATGGAGACCATCCACACAGCCCAGCAGCTGAGCAAGAGCTTCCAAACTTCTATTAATTGTTGTTATCTAGCCACAAGGAGCTATACCCCCAAATGATACAGCTAGAGCTGTTTAGCTCCCAAAAAGGTAAGGAAACAGGCTGAGGGGCTGGGCCACTAAAACCAAAAACAAGGACAGTAGGTTGAGGGGCCCTTCCAGGTCAAACCTCATGGTCACACTGGCCTGCTGCTTTTGACAGCCAAGGACAGAGCCATCCCTCCCACATAGAACAGGGACTGAGACTGGGCTCCTGGGAGATCTTTTCTGCAAGCCAAATGAGAAAACAAGGGAAGCTAACCAGACCGAGTGCTTTACTCCCAGCCAGGGCCTTGAAGGGTTGGGCCTGGCCAAGACTGTTGGTTCTCTAGGCCCCTCCAGCTCCCACCTCCACCCTGACCTTTCCAGTGGATTCCTGCCACCCACTCCAGGGGAATCTGAGTCATGTGTCAGTACGGCCAGGAGGGGAGATGAGTCTTTGGCCACTGCCAATCCAGGAGGTCACAGCACGCCTGGTCTGAGTCTGAAGAGCCCCAACAGGTGATTTCCAGCTTGGAGCAGGAGGGAAGGCACTGTGCATTTGTCTCCCGTGCAGAGCTCTGGCCTCTGGAGTAGGCGGCCCCAGTGGCTGCCCAAAAGGCCTGGCTGTCAGTGGGGCTCTGTGGACCCTTCTCTATAGGGCTTCTCTTCCACGTGGCTGGTCTGCTCCAGAAGCCACTGCCGCTCAGCCTCACTCACTGTCAGTCTGAACGTCACCTCCTGAAAGATGCTGCTCACAGCCACCTGTGAGAGCCAGAGAGAGCAGGACATTCGAATTAAGCCACAAGTTCCAGCACAACCACCCCAGACTGAAACCTGCCCACTGACATCCTTACTTGCTTGAAATGAAGTTTCTGGAACATCCGGATGCTGGGTTCATTTCCTTGACCGATTTTAGCCTCAAACTTGGTCAGACCCAGCTTAGTCACTCCTCCAGAGGTATCAGAGAGAAGGGCAAGAGCACAGTGAAGCCCCCTCGCTAGCACCCCCTTGCCCTCCTGGCCCGATCTGCAGTGGAGGCTCTTGTCACCTGCCCCCCACCCTCAAGTGTGAAGAAAGCTCAGCTGGGGCCTGACCACCTGTCCCCACATAGCCGCTTAGAATTCCTTACCGTAAGACATCATCAGAAGAGCAGCCTCAGTGCCAAAACCCTGGCCCCTGCAGCTGGGCTCTACAAGAAAGAGTGACACAGCAGCTGGCACTAGGCCAGGCTACAGTGTGCACACCTGACAGATACATGCTCACTGAGTTCTCACCGCCCTGAAGGTGGGGTTACCACTACTGTTCTGCACCAGATTGCACCAGGAAGAGGTGCAATCTGACTCCAAAGCTGACCCCTACACTGTCATAAAGGTGAAGGACGGTTAGAGGCCCCTAGGGGGAGCTGAGGACCAAGGTCCCAGAAACAGGAGAGGCCCTCCTATAGCATGGCAGGACGCTCCAGAGAAGATGGATTATTTTGAAGGATCCCTCACCCACCCTACAGAAGCGGCCTTAAATCCAAAGGTTCACACTGAAGCATAAGGAATAAAGTGACAAACAGAAGGAAAAGCCCAGGCTTGGATGGGGCCAGCCCACCCTAGCCAGAAGCTAGCTCACCCCACGAAGCCCCCCACTGAGCTTCCTGAGTAGCTCAGCAGACTTCTGGTTTAGTAGATCTGAGGGCCAGGTGGAACAAACCTGCAATCATGACTTCAATCTCCCCCAGGGTGGGGTCTTCTATATCAGTGAGAAACAGATTCACATCTCCTGCCATGCAGCTCTCTTCGGTGGGGACTGGCTGAGTCTGCCACTTCTCTGCATCCAGCACAATGAAGGTGCACTCTAAGGGGGAAGGTAACAGGGCTATCACCTTTATTCCCCAGAGAAGAGAGGTGTTCATGCCCAAGCCAGAGAACTACAGAACACCAGCACCTCTGAGCCTGGGAGGAGAAAAGAGGCCCAGAGCTCCCTTCAGCTCATTACAAAGTCCAAGTCTGCCTTCAATCATGAAAAGACAGCCTTCTCCAAATAGTGACTGTACTCTAAAAAAGCAGGGGACCCAAGGGGCAGTGACCACATGAGGCTGTTGTGAGGGACATGAGGGCAGGGTCTAAATTTACAGGTAAGGGCTGGGGATGTGGCTCAAGCTGTAGCGCGCTCGCCTGGCATGCATGCGGCCCGGGTTCGATCCTCAGCACCACATACAAACAAAGATGTTGTGTCCGCCAAAAAGTAAAAAAATAAATATTAAAAAATTCTCTCTCTCTTAAAAAATAAATAAATAAATAAATTTACAGATAAAGCCCAAAATGCTTTACTTTCTGTAAATCCTTCCAAACCCAGTACAGTGAGTGGGGAAGAAAGCAGAAGGGTCAGCCACAGGGACCAACCCCAGGAGGTGTGAGGGTATAAGGGCTTCATGCATTTTTTGGTCTTTTCACAAGTTTTTGTGGCCCTAGCAGAACTGGCTGGAGGTGAGAAAGGGAGGGAACCTGGAGACTGCCTCTGGAGCCAGCTGCCCCACTAGGAGGGCCAGGCCTTCCTTACTGTCTGCATCTTCCCGCCAGCTGCATTGCATAGCATACTCCTGCTCCAGGGTCAGTGGCTCTGAGGCTGTCAAACGCTGCAGTTCCTCTGATTTCATCCACTCATGGTACCTGCAGGGAAAAGGGGATGGCCTTAGACACACAGAGCTAATTCAGAGGCATGGGTCTGACATTTTTTAAGGTAAAGAAGTAGATGGTAGGGAGCAGGGCCCCTCAGGGCTAAAAGAGGGCTCATACAAGACCCAAGAGTTATGAAGGCAATGGACACAAGCCCAAAGGCAGTCCAGTCTTACAACAGAACAGTAAGAGGGAAAAGTTCTATCTGTCCACCTTCACATCCTGGCTGAGGGATCTGTGTGGAGGAGCAGTTTGAAACCAAATATTCCTCAGATTCCTAAGGGGAAGTATATGGCAAACTGACCTCAGCAAAAAAGGGTAAATGGACCCTTATAAAAACAAGGCACCAGGGACCCCCCAAAAGGAAAACTCCAAGTAGAGGACACCCCCCTATACCACCACTTTCCCAATCTACTAGACATTTGCCAAATGCTCCCCATAAGAGTCCACACTGGCTTTTCAAGAAATGGAAATAATCAATCAGCTGAGTGTTCTAGAACAAGCATATGTTAAGGAAAGTTTGTTTACTTAACCCTCCTGGGGGCTAAACTGCACTCCAGGTAAGGTGCATGGTTACCTAGGCACGTGTTCTGAAGTGTAGGGTACCAGGACCACCTTCTTCCCCAGCAACAAGGTGTTCTGATTCAACCTCATGGCAGCAGCCTGCAGGTAGGGGACAGCAAACACTTAAGAACCCGGAGTTTTTTCCCAGTTACGGTGTGAGCCAAATCTCTCCTACTGGAGTGGGGCTAAACTGACAAAAGGGCCTCCTGTCCTTTCCTTCCAAACACTTCAAAGAACACCCACTCTCAAACCCATTGCAAGAAAGAGAACTGATTTGGTTAAGAATTAAACAACCTTTGGCTCGCATCTCAGGGGCCAAGCATGGTCTGCCATTCCTGCCGGTCCCTTCCGTCTACCTCCCAGAACGTCGATCCATCAAACGCAAGGACCAAATCAAGATTCATCCTCAATGCTCCCATTACCTGCCCCATTCAGGGACTCCAGCCCAGAATCAAATTCCAGCCTTTCCTTCAACCAACTCCCATCTCTTCCCTCGGGTGCAAGCCAAGGGGCTCCAACCCTCCCTCTTCCCCGCCCCCAGCCCGCCCTCCCAGCCCACTTTAGTTTCAGGCCCCTCCCCTTTGTGTGGGGCTCCTCGATTCTCCAGCCACCTGGGACCGGAACTGCCAAGCTCACACCCATTCCCCGACGACGAAAGCGTCCCCAGCAGCACGGGTAATCTGCCTCTCCCAACTGGCCACGCTTCCCCGCCCGGCCCGCAGCCGTCACCCCGCATGCGTGGCGAAGCGCACTTCTCACTTCCGCCACGCAGACGGCAGCCGCCAGGGCCAATTCCGGCCACGGCCCCGCGAGGCGCCCAATCAGCGTTCTGCGCCCCGTCCGAAGCGCGCGCCGGGAAGGTGGGTTCGAGCGCCGGCGCATGCGCGTTGTGGGCACTGGTGCGGGACAGCTGGCGCTGGCAGCCGCACAGGGGCCGGAGGCGGCTCCCGCGCCCGCCCCGAACAAGCTGTGCTGCAGGTGTCGGACCGGGGGTAAAGGTGTGATGGGATGGAGGGGGCGTTAGACTTGGGGCTCCTCCAGCAGGGAAGGCAAAGGAGAGGCTCAGAGAGGGGCACTTGAGGAGGAAATGCGGCTCGAGGATGGGGAACCCTAAGGCAGGGTAGGAATGGCTGGTTGGGGGGAACGGGGAGTGGCGGCCCCGCTTAAAAAAAAAAGAGAGAGAGAGAGAGAGAGAGAGAGAGAGAGAGAACAGCAAGAGAGACATTGGGACAGGGAGTTATGTTGGACGGACCATCTGGGAAAGCTCCAGCTCCCAGCCATAGACGAAGGTAGCAAACAGTTCTGTGGGCTGCCCTGGGTGGTAGTGAGCTCACACAGTTCCGGAATTAAGTGGGCACCTCCGAGGGTGTAAAGAACTCTGTTGGTGGGTGAGACTCAGTGGCTTCGCAGGCCCCGTAAATCAGTGGAGTCCAAGCAATATCCATGCATAGAGTAGTCCCCTGAGCAGCAAGGGGCAAATTAGAAGCGACTACCTAGATTTTCTCTGACCAAGGGAACCCTTCCTTCCGGGATGAGTCTTGTGACAGATACTTAAGTCTTAGATAAGTGTTAATAATAAAAAGACAAGAGGTGGGGAGGGAGCAGTAGCAGACTTTACCCCACCCCTGTGTCAGCCCATCAGAAAGCTGAAGTGTACTCTTTTGTCTTAGGGAGCTGCAACAGCTGCTGCCCTGCGCTGAAGGAACCTCTACTGCCCACCCTTCCTAACGTTTTTTGGAGATGGCCGGTGAAATCACAGAGACCGGGGAGCTCTATTCTCCCTACGTGAGTTTTACCTTTAGAATCTGTTTTGCTCACCACAGTACTCCTGGCCTCTAAAGAAGCCCACTGCTTCCTGTGAACTGTACTCCTGATTGCCCTGGTTTAAGTAGAGCCTGGTGAAAATACAATGGGAACTTGATGTAGCAGGAGCCATATTGCTGCTGTCATGTTTCAGAATATGAGTCATGGTCATTCCCTTTTAGATGCTTCTCAAAGAGTGTCAAGCTGAACAAAATCAACTTGCTAACTCTCTGTAATATTTATCTCAGGGCTATCACCACTTTTATTCCTTGCTATGCTTCAGGTGGACCATGATTGACAGTTGTTGACTTTGGGTGTTAACTCATCTCAGCAGGTTGAAACTACTTTGGTCTTTAGATGAATTTTAAATTGCACAACTTTTATGGTCTTGGATGGCGAAAGAGGCAGCCAAATGCAAAGTCTTCCATTTGTAGCCTGGTGGAGTCTGCAATTAGGACAATTAGAATGATTGATTTCTCTCTGTCCTGAGACTGTGTTGCCCCCTCATTCCACCACCACCACTACCCCCGCCCCCACACACACTCAGTTTATCTTCTCTAATGTACTATCCAGTTGGTCATGGTCATTACATCACAGAGCCCTCTTGCCTGGAGCTTGGAGAGAATCATTTGAATAATCAGACAGTTGACTCATGTTGCTATTAAGTATCCCAGGGAAAAGCAGCACTGCCCTAAGCAGCCAGAGCCTTCCTTCTACAGCTTACCTGCCTTACACAGCTGCTTTGCATCCACCTTTCTTGCCTGAGGATCCATCCTCTGTTTCTGCTAAGGTCACAGACACTAGCCTCATGGTGTGATAGGGTAAGGAAGCATCTCTAACCACAGGCAGAAGAAACTTTCCTCCCTCCAGGGTCTTCCTGTTGCATCTGTGCCATTCTCAGGTAGCAATGAAAGAGCCTCCTCACTTCCATAATTTACCTGGGGAAATCTTTTGTGAACCCTGGAATAGAATGAATAGTGCCCCTCTCATTTGTGGAATCATGTAAAGGCTCCCATTTTCCTATATCAGCAATGAAATGTCCATGCTATCCATGAAGGTCACCACAGTCCCTGCTTTTTCTTACAATGTCTGTGAACTTACAGATGAAGAAATGAGTCATTTCTGTGAGTGAGTTCTGGGAGGAAAACACTGTGATGTGCTCCTATTTCTTGTTCTTGTGCTCGTCTCACTTGTCATCATGTCCCTGCAGGAGATGGGAGAGTTAGGCCTGCAAATTTCAGGGGGCTCTGTTTTGTTTTTTCTTTCATTTCCCATGGGTTTTATTTTGCTCAGTCTTTGAGGGCCAACTCTGGGCAGTTGTCACAAATAAATGTTGTATTATTTTATCCTCCAAGTGAAGAGAGAGGTCAGGAAAAGCTGGGCAGTGGTCAGAGTGAGGTGGTGGTAACCAGGCAGCAGTGGTCAGGGTTTTGAGGGAGAAGATGCCTTCCGAAGGCTTTCTTCCTTCATCTCACTTGGAGAATGAGTCTTGATTCCCTGTGAGACCAGTAGAACCTAAATAAGCTATAAAAATGACTTTCCTACCTAAGCTGCTCTAAAGCCCTGCAATCCCCAGCTCAGCACAGTGTGGGCAAAACCCTGCTCTGGCTTCCTTAGGAGACCAAGGTACTGGACACGTGGTTCATTAATGTACAAAACAGCCCATGGTCATTGCCAAGACACAGCCTCTCCTTAGATCTGTATTGCCTCACTCCATTGTGAGTTCTTTTTCCCTTCAGAAGTAGATAGTTTTCTTTAGCTTGACTTATTCTGCTTAAAATGTTTATGACAGAGCCAAGCTTCCCAGGAGGCTCAGATGCCACACTTTCTCAAGGACAGTGCTGGACCCAAGAACATGATTCAGCCTTGTACATGTCGCCATGAGTGACCTCAGGACAGACGTGTCAGTTTCCCTATTTGGGGGGACCAGGAATGGCTCAGGACGAAGTGGTAGTTATGAGATCAGAACACAGGACGAGGTGGATCATGCCTGAGAGAAGGGTAGCTGCTGAGGATGCCTCTGGTGGCTGGTTCCTGCTGAAGACTCCAAGGACCAGGGGCTGCACCTTCTCCAGTTCATCCAGAAAATCTCGTCCTTGGGGACTATGTAGGACCTTATTCCTCTGCTTCCTGCCACTCTTCCCAGTAAGTGGCCCCACAGAACTGTCACATGACCAGCAAAAGAGAAGGTCTTCTTCCTCTTCTTTCTTCCCCACAAGTTCTCTTGACCTGGCCTGTGGCTTAGCTCGGAGTTAATGCTGACCAGAACTGCTTTGGCCCTCCAATCGAAGAAGTTCCCTGTGAAGCACGCAGTGGTTTCTTTAGAACTAGAAAATAGCAACAAAGCAAGACAAACATGACTGCCCGTTTCTGCCTAACAACAGATGGTTTATCCCTAATCAACTGTTTATAAAGTTGTTAAAGCTTCTTTTCATTGAGGTTTATTTGAAGTCTCTGTTGGGCACATGCCTGTGTCTTCATGCCTGTTTTAAAGGAGTGGTTTTCAGGTAGTGATGATCTTGCCCCCAGAGGACATTCAACATCTGGAGACACTTTGATTTTCAAGACGCTGTTGCTTGGGACAGAGGGAGCAGTTCACTGGCAACTGGTGGACAGAGGCCAGGGATGCTGCTAAACACCCTACAATGCAGGACAGGCCCCCACCACAAAGAATGATCTTGAACCCAAATATCAACAGTGCCCAGGCTGAGAAAACCTGACCTGTAATAGGCCTTTGAACTTTTCCATGCCAAGACCTTCAGAGATTCCGGAATTTAGAGATGCTTCTTGTACTGTTTAATTTCCCCGTAAGATTTTTCCCTAAGTGTCTTTGTTAAGCCCCTTGCCCTCTCTTTATTTTCATCATCAGGACCATTTCCCACAAAGAAATGAGGCTGATGCCCCCTAGTAGTGCTGCTGCTTAGAGAACTACTGAGCGGAAAGCAGAGCCGCAGGGTTCAGGTGCTCTGTGGCCACTGGGATCTGTTCTATTGGTGTCCTGCCTTGAACTCTCCGAAACATGGAACCCTCATCTCCTCCAAAGGGCTGCTCAGTCTGACTCCTGCATCCCCAGCCCTCCTCTGCCTGGCTCACGGTGCCTCAGCCACGGGCCTCCTGGAAGTTTCTGGAACATCCCCACTTCTTTCCCACCTTAGGCTGTTGTACCTGGAGGCCGTCTGGGTGGTGCCATCTCATCCTTCCTGCCCCCCCTTAAATGTCATCGCAGAGGTTTCCTTGAGCACTCTGTTTCCAGTGCTTTCCCGTTATTCCTTGTCACAACCCCTTGATTCTTTTCTTTAAGCTTCTCTCAAGCAGTGACCACAGTTTGTTTTCTTCCCCTCCTGAGGACGTAGCTCCATATGTGCCTTGTTTAGTCGTAAAGTTAGCTCATTATAGACATGCATAGTTGCTTGTGAGAAGCTGGAACTTGCCATCCTGAAGGCCAGCAAAGACCTGCAAGCTACCTTGAGCAGGGTCCCGTGAAAACCAGCTGAGCTCTCCTCTCCAGGCCTTTCAGACACCCTGAGAATGCAGAGAAGTGAGCACAGCCTGCTGCCACGCAGGCCTTGGGTTTAGTAGTGGGGAGGAGGTAAATGCACCGCACCTGAAAGCCAGGACCAGGTGTAAGAAGGCTTATGCTCCAGGGATGCAAAGGTGGGAAGCAAGATGAGCTTAGGAGCCTGGGAAGGGCTTGGAGGTGTAAGTAGCATTTGAATGGGCCCCAGGGACTGAACAGAAGGGCAGGGGGAGGAGGCCCAAGAGAGCATGGCGCCCTGTGCCAAGGATAAATGCACTGTGGGCGGAGCTCTGTGCTCTCAGCGAGACGTCCGCCCACCTGCCCAGCATTCAGGTGTCCACTGGACACTGCTGGAAAGCCTGGCCTCCTCTAACCCTTCCCCCTGAGCCAAGGGTCCTAAGGTAGTAGTTGACAATCCCTGTCTGTTTCTGCTTTTTTTTTTTTTTTTTTGGTTCATCTTTCAAAGAATGGGAAGTGAAAATGAGAGGTGGGCAGGGCTTCTCAGAGAGGAGGGATTTGTCTTTTTAAAGGCACCAAAACAGGTGGTGAAGCCATGGAAGATCAACAAGGGGCCTGTCGTGAAGGGCTGAGCTAGAGGGAGCCACAAAACACTCTTCAGGAACAAAATCAGTAGCACCAGGACATGAGGAGAAGGAAGGAGGCCAAGGCCACTCTGGGATGTCCAGATGGAGGTGCCTGGCAGCAGCTGAACTGGAGCTCTGAAGAAAGGCAGAGACCACAGAAACAGTCTTCTGTCCAGCCACGAGATAAGCCAGACAGGTGGACTGAGTTGTTGAGGAAGAGGTGCAGAGAGGAGAAGAAACAGCCAGTGTGGCAGCAGGAAGGCCAGCGGGTCCTTGGTGATAGGCAAGGTTCAGTTTCAAGGTCGGGCATGGTGGCATACGCTGGAATCTCAGGTAGTTGAGAGGCTGAGGCAGGAGGATTGCAAGTTTGGAGCCAACCTGGGCAACTCAGCGATACCCTGTCTCAGAGTAAAAAGGGCTGGAGATGTAATTCATGGTGAAGCACCCCTGGCTCGGCCCCCAGTAACACCAAAAAAAAAGAGAGAGAGAGAGGTTTCTGGAGTCCTGGAGAAGGAAGCTCCTTCACCAAGGACAGGCAAGAGCCCGCCTTTCCCCCAAGTTTGCATCAGCAAAGTCAGAGTCACGTTTTAAATGTGTCAAGTAAGTTTGTAGGCAGAACGGAAGAGCTGGTGGGAAGAGAGGGTTCCAGGTGCCAGCTTGGCCTCATCAAGGAGTAATGGCATATGTTCCTCAAAGGCAGCAGGAGCCAAGCACAGTGGCACACACCTATAATCCCAGAGATGGGAGGCTGAGGCACGAGGCAAGAGAATCACAAATTTGAGGCCAGCCTCAGCAACTTAGTGAGACCCTGCCTGAAAATAAAAAGGGGTAGGGGGAGTCTGGGGACATAGGTTGGTGGTACAGTGCCCCTGAGTTCCAGCCCCAGTGTGGGTGTTGGTGGGGACAGATAGGAAGGGGATAGACACTGATCTTTTGAACTAGGAAAGAGGCTTTGGCAGCATGCATCACCAGGTGACTTCAGTCACCTCCACAGAGTAGCTGATGGAGCCCTCATCTAAGAGTGATGGGGCCATGGGTCTGGGAGCTTAAACGTTGAGCTTGGGGGCAGTTACTATGGGGAACACCCAGAAACCCATGTTGAGAAAGAAACTGATGTCGCCAGACCCCAGGTGAAGGGGCCGCTCATTTGCTGTGGGACAATCCAATGATTCAAAGAGAACATCTCCAGGAAGCTCTGGCAATTTGGCTCAGGGAGGAGAAGAGCAGGTATGGCCTTGGCACAGGCTGGGTGGACAGGCGAGACCCCGGAGGGGAAGGCCCAAGAAGCTGGGGCAACATGTGCTCTGTGGAACCAGCTGACCGTGTGCAGGGCTGGGTGGGGGGGGTGATGCCCAGGTGGGGTGGACTGGAGGGCAGAGGCAGCTGGGGGTGGAAAGCACCCTGGGAGAGCTGGGGTTCTCAGAAAGGAATTTTCCAGCTGAGATCTTGGGAAAAGAAATGGTGTGACTAACTGAACTAGAGTCAGGGGCTGAGTTAGAGTTAAGTTTGAAACCTGGAGTCACCCTGAGGGCACAGGATGAGGGGAGGTGTGACGAGAGCAACCTTGAGTTCCTGAAACCCCTGTACTGTGCTTTAGAGGGTGGGTTTTGTGGCCTGTGAATCGTGTCTTGACTGTTTTTAACCCTGAAGTCAGTGCAGAGGTGTGGGAGTAGAGTAAGGGAAGCATGAATGTCGATGTCCCAAGGACAGTGGCAAGGACTGGCACAGGACAGAGTCATGGGCCAGCAGTTTGGAGAAGTTTCTTGGAGGTCAGCATTACGTGTCCATGCTGTGCCGAGCTCCCCACCTGTCTTCAGAGCCTGGCATCTGTGACACAGCTCTGAATGGTTTGCAGTGCTGAGGGGGTGGCCATGAGGACAGTAGAGAGGGGACTGGAATCCAGAGACATTCTGGAAAGAACCCACAGATTGTGGCGCTTAGTCGTCTGCGTGTTAGGGCCCCAGCACCTGGTTGCAGAGCTCTGCTCCCTGGGACCAAGATGTCCTCTGCCTCCCTGTCCTTGGGGCTCTGGGAAGGTCTCCATGGCGGTGCTGTCACCCAGGGCAGCCCTCGGGAGCTGTTGAGGGGCGAGATTAACCATTCCCGGGCTTGAGTGTCGCTCCTTGGGTTCCAGGTCGGGCTGGTGTACATGTTCAACCTCATCGTGGGCACAGGGGCGCTCACCATGCCTAAGGCCTTTGCCACCGCCGGATGGCTGGTCAGCCTCGTCCTGCTGGTGTTCCTGGGCTTCATGAGGTAAGGGGCAGCGGAAGGCTGGGGCCGGAGCTGGGGGAGTCTGCCCTGCAGTCCCTATGTCTCTTCATTAGCGGGGCCTGAGTGGGAAGGTGACTGACTGCATGCATTAGGCACGCGTGTCCTGAGCAGGACCCAGAGAAGGGAGTGGACAGAGGCCTCCCGGAGCACCCTGTGAGGTGGGTCGAGACACGATGAAGCCCCGGAAGGTCCTGAAGGTTCATGTGGTGCAGGTCCTCTTCCCGTGACTCACCTCTCTGCCCCATACTTCAGCACCGTGACCCCCGTCAGGGCGCTCAGAAAACACCACCCTCCCCAGAAAAAGAGGGTGATCTGGGAAGAGAGTTTTGGGTTTAGATTCTACTTGATATAATCCACCAAGAAAGTGAAGGCACAGTACACCAACACACGGGCCACAGTGGAGCCACCTGCCTGTGTCCCCCATGGTCCACCCCCGCCCCCACCTTCAGGGCACTGATTGTGTGGGTCCCAGCAGCTGTTGCGTCAGTGAGGGAGGCCACCAAGGCTGTGCTCAGGGGCTCCCCTGGAGCTTTGCAGCCATCTCGTGATGGCACAGGCTAAGGGACTTAGGTCCTGACCAGGCAGGAGTCCACAGGCCAGAGGTGGAGTGTGACCTGGAGCTCCCCAGGAGCACCTCCCATCTCTGCACCAGAGAAAGGACTGGAATCCAGAGACATTCTGGAAAGAACCCACAGGTTGTGGCACTTAGTTGTCTAAGCGCCATAATCTGCGGGTTGTGGCACTGTCCATGTTTGTGGCACCCATTGAACAGAACACGCCCCACGTGGCTGTGCCCTGTGGGCAGTGAGGGCGAAGGAGGTGGACAAGTGAATTGCAGAGTGACCAGAAGGTGATGAGTGCCAGACAAGGAAAAGCACAGTGTGGCAAGGGGTTGAGGAGGTAAGGTGACTACCAGGCCCGGGGGTCACAGAGCGGCACGGATGCAGAAGTTTGAAGGAGAAAGAAGTAGGCATCATAGAAAGAGTGAAGCAGAGCTAAGTACTTGAAGCAGACAGAGCTGGGAGGGCCTGTAAGGGACAGAAATGAGTCAGGCTCTTCCGTTTCTATGCAGTTCTTTTGGGGACCTTTAGGGTGAACCTTGGGTGCTGTTGGCTTGTTATATACTTCAAGCTCTAGCTGCCAAGAACTCTGGAAGTCCTTGACCTTATGTGACTCCATCACCTTTAAAGGACCTTCAGCACAGGCAGCCATCTGAAGAGGAAGTGATTATTGGGAACCTCTAGCTATGGTCTGCCATGGCCTCTCCTTGCTAAACCCATTTCCATTTGAACATGATCAATGAGTTGGCTTAATGCAACCGTGGGAAGTCTCTCTATGCCTTAATTAGGATTGATTTTAGCTCCACTTCCAAAAAGAAGGGAAAAGCTAAGCCCTCAACATGATCAGTTAGGCAAGATCACAAGAAACCTTTCTTGGAGGTGCTGGGGTGATTGGAATGGGAATCATGGGCCCGACTGCCCCCCACTGCAGAGGTGGAGGGGTGTGGGTTTGACTGCTGTGGGGCCCAGTGCTCCACCAGCCACCGGACTGAAGGACTGAGTGGCATCTGTTGACATCATCTGCACCGGAGGATACAGGTGCAGAGCCGTGCTGACCTCAGAAAAAGGGAGACCATGTTCGCCCCAAGCTGTTTCAGGGCAGGGGTGGACTCTGCCTCACGTTTTATCAGCAGTGCCCCATATCCTGGGGCCACCCAACCTCTGAGCTCCTGGAAGAGGGGAAAAGATGGCTTCTCCACTCTTGTCTGACTTCTTGGCAAGTGTCTTGTGCTGCCTCCCTGTCTCCCTTGAGATTCGGGCCACAGTAGTAGAAACTTATTTTACTATTAGGCACATTATCCTGAAAGCTAAAGTTCTGCCAAAGAGAAAGGGGGACGGGTTCCAGAGCCACCTTCGTTCTCCAGCCCTTGGCACTGGTGTATGCAGTTGGAAGCTGACCACTGCCTGTGCCCTGCAGGGAGGGGTGAGGGCTGCCTGCCGTCCTTCCAGAAGCCCCCGTGAATCGGCCTCCTCCCAGCTCAGGGCCCCTGTTGGTGCGGGGCCATGTTGACCCGTGTCGCCTGCACCCAGCTCGTGCTCTCCCTTGAGCAGTTTCCCTCCCCTCAGCCTATGTCGCAGCCCCATCCTGTGTGTCAGAAGGGGATCCTAAACGTAGGCAGCCACAGAAAAGCAAGCACACGCGGCCTCGGGCAGGCACACACTCCTTACCAGGAAAGGCCCGTCTCAGAACTTCCCTAGGGAGCAGTTCTCAGAAGAGAGTGCCGGGCTTGTTGGTCACGCCGCTTCAGACTCCTACAATCTCCTCTCTGCAATTAACACGTGCCTCCCCCTCAGCTTTGTGACAACCACCTTTGTGATGGAGGCCATGGCCGCAGCCAACGCACAGCTCCGCTGGAAGAGGATGGAAACCCACAAGGTGTGTGTGTGTCCCCCGGCGGTTCCTCTGTTCAGTTGTGTTCCCTAGAGACAGTCTCAGCAACCCGTTGCTTTCTTCTTGATGTGTGAGGACTGTCCACAGTGCTGCTCCAGGAACCTAGTCCCAGGTCCCAGAGCTGCAGAATGGCAGCCACGTACAGTCAGAAAACACAGGCAGGGCTGCCCTCGGCCTCACAGCGCTGGCCCTCACTCCACACGCTGAGCCGCTCAGCCCTTGTCCCCAGGAACTATGCTATGTGCTCCACCTGTTGAGAGTTTCCTAATTAGACACCTTCTAGAAAGAGAACAAAGGGAATGACCCCTGCCCAGGTTTTCTGTACAGCCATGTGCTCATTCCTTCTCCTTGGTTTCTCCTCTTCTCCTCGTCCACCCCACCACCTCCCAGGAGGAGGACAACGACGACGACTCCTCCACGGCCTCAGACAGTGACATTCTCACCCCGGACAGCTACGAGCGGGCAGAGAAACAGCCCATCCTGTCAGTGCGTAAGTCTTGGGCCTCCCGACAGGCCTCAAGCTCCTGGATGATAGGGCTCCCTTTCTTTCTTCATGGTGAGAGCCCAGGGAGACTCCCTGCAGACGTCCTTTGGCGTTTTCTGCCTGAGGGTGGCAGTTTTGGGGTCCCAGGCACAGGCCTGGCCCTGCTGGCTCACCTCTTGCTAACGCGTTTGGCCTGTTACTGGGCTCTGTCTAGCTTCCCATCTCTCCTGCCGTTTTTGTTGTTGTGTGGTACCAGGGTGCTTTACCATTGAGCTACACCCCCAGCCCTTTAAATTTTTATTTTGAGGCAGGGTCTGCTAAGTTTCCCAGGCTGGCCTCAAATTTGCAATCCTCCTGCCTCAGCCTTGCAAGTTGCTGGGATTACAGGTGTGCACTCTCCTACTGTTATAGAAATGACCGCATGCCTGGTTCTGTGCCCTGTGCGCACTGAGAGAGCTTGAGTGAATGTGGTCCTGGCTCCACCCTCCCACCTCACCCCTATACACACACACGCACCCTCGTCCGTCTCGCAGTCTCGTCCCTGCTCACCCTCTCCCCTATAGGGAGCATCCTTGAATTTTCTTGTAAAATGTAGACATGGGGCTGGGGCTCCGTGGAAGAGTGCTTGCCCAACATATGCAAGGCCCTGGGTTTGAGCCCCAGCACTGGGAAAAAAGGAAACCTTAGGAAAGTTTTCTCCAGAGTCCGAGATCCTTGGGGATTCCTTATTCTGGGACTTTGCGGCACTCAGCGACAGTGCTTCTGGTGAAGAATCACCACCCTTCTTGTGCTTTTGGCTCCTCAGAGAGACGCACATCTCCCAACCTGTTTGAAATCACAGACCGGGTGGAAATGGGACAGATGGCCTCCATGTTCTTCAATAAAGGTAATAAATGCTTATTTGGGGGTGGGGTGTGGGGAAAGGGCCAGGGGTCCTTCACTGCAGGCCTGAGCCTTATAATGAGGGTTCCATGTCGCCGGGGGATGAGGCAAGCCATGAGGAGGGGAAGGTTGTCAGCCTGCGGTCAGAGCAACTGCCGGATGCCTGCCCTGCGGACACAAATTTCCTTGGATGCCCCGTCCCTCTGTGTGAAGAACAAAGAGCTGGCTACCCTGGTAGAGGCAGGGATCCTGGGCAGCTGTCCAACAGGGGAAGCCATGGAGGTGGCTGGCAGTTTGTACCTCTCCCAGCAGTTGCTTCTGACTTGGCTCTCTGGCCTGTTCTGGCTGAGACAACACCCTCTGACGGTGGTAGGCTTTGCCACAGGCATGCCAGGGCATGTCCTCCCAGTGGCCAGCAGAGGGCGCCAGGAGCCCACGCTAGAGCTGGTTTGGGCACTGGAGGCCCCCCCCCCCCCCCCCCCCCCCCCCAGAGGGAGGCAAGGCTCTCCCTCTGGCCCTGCCTGCTCCTGGCTGGCAGTTGGCAACAACCTGCAGGGATCCGCCCAGCTCTGGTGTTGGGCTCCGGGGCCTGCCAGTGATAACGGCATGTACTTCCATGGCTAATCTTGTTCTTTGGGAAAATGAGCTATTAAGACTTTCATTTTTAATGCCCGAACCTGTTAGTTTCCTTGACAGTCAGGCACAGTCTCAATAAATCCTTCCGCTTACAGCTGTCCTGGAAGATCTTGTGCCCCTCTGTCAAAGCCCGTGTGTGGAGTGGTTGTCCACCAGTTCTTGTGTGGCCCTGCTTTACTCAGAGCTGGGGGACTGTGGAAGCCAGTGTCTGCTTGCCTGCCCTCAGGACACTAAGCACTCAGTCTGTCATTGGTGGTGCGATTTGGTGGCTGGTCCAGACGAGGTGATTGTTGGCACAGGTTGCCCAAGGTCTAGTTCCACTCTCCCTCCTGGACAAGCCTCAGAGGATTTCCAGAATTCATCAAAACCAGCTTCTCAGCCGGACGTGCTGGCTCACACCTGTAATCCCAGCGGCTTGGGAGGCTAAAGCAAGAGGATCAAATCCAGCCTCAGCAACTTAGCACGGCCCTAAGCAACTTGGTGAGACCCTGTCTCTAAATAAAAATATAGAAAGGGCTGGGGATGTGGCTCAGTGGTTAAGTGCCCCTGGGTTCAATCCCTGGTACCAAAAAAACACAACAACAACAAAGACCCTGTTTTCAGCCCACTTCTGTGTTTCTCCTTTGCTGCATTTCTGTCACTCCCTGTCCCACTGCACTGAGTAAGTAGAGGCGTTTCCTGACCCTTCAAAATGCAAACCTGTAAAATAAGTCACACATGGGGGAGAAGAAACATCTTTTAAACCTCATTTCTCGTTTTCATATTCTGTAATCTGCCTTGATTTCTGTAAGAATTCTAGGAACCAGTGGTTTGTTTTGTTTGTTTGTGGTGCTGGGGATGGACCCCAGGGCCCTGTGCATGCTGAGCAAGTGCTCTACCACTGAGCCACATCCCAGCCTTTTTCATTTGATCTTGAGACAAGGTCTCACTAAGTTGCTGAGGCTGGCCTCCTACTTGCCATCCTCCTGCCTCAGCCTTCCAAGTAACTTAGGATTGTAGGTGTGCGTACTGTGCCCAGCTAGTGGTTGGTTTTATCTCTGCTCCTGCCCCATGAACCAGACTCCTGGTTTATTCAGATCTAATAGAAAACAGCATGTTTGTGTGGAGACAGCCCCACACCTAGAGAAGTCTCCTTGTTGTCCCCTGCAGGGCTTCTCAAGCTCCTTACTGTGGACGTTGGGCCAGATAACTCGGTCGCTGGACCTGTCCTGAGTGTCGTAGAGCAACACCCCGGACTCCAGTTGTCAGTAGTACCTCCTAATTGTGTCAATCAAAACCGCCCTCAGACATTGCCAAATGTTCCCCCCAGGTGGGGCGGTGCAGAATCACCTCTGCTCTGCTCTGCTCTGCTCTTAACTCACAGATCGTCAGAGTGTCATCTTCACCTTTGGCAGGGCGGCCTTCCACAAAAGGCTCCCTTGGGCTCTCCACTCGTTTCTTGTCATTAGAAATGCCAAGCGTAGTCTCTGATGTCCTCTCGGGAAGTTCATTGATCCTCCCACTTTGTGTCTAGTAATGAAATTGTATTGATCAGGGAGGGCCAATGGCAGTTTATAAACAACCAACATTGGAGTCGTCAGCAGGTGGCAAGAAGGGAATGGGGAGGAGACGATGCCTTCCCACAGAGAGCAGAAAGGCAGGCTGGAGCCGGCTGTCCCCGGAGCCTGGGGCGTGAGTTATAGGCAGCCCCGGGGCCACTGAGCTTGGACATCAAGTCTCCCTCTGACATGTCAGTGAAGGACATGCCAACTAGTGTGCTCAGAAAGCAGACGCCGGGCGCTCGTGGCTCCTTTAGAAAATCATGCCTTCCTGGTCTTCTCCCCCAGAGTCCTAGGAGCAGAGCTGACCTCACACAGCCCAGGAGTAGCATGTCCTGGGCTTTCCCCTGGGGACGCTGCAGGCTCTTGTAAGCCACGAGGATTGGAAGAGAACTGTCACTTCATTTTTCTTTCTGTCCTCAGAGAAGCCAGCAGCTTGAGACCAGTGACATCAAAAACTTGAGCAATAGTCTGAGCAAGAATCTGAGGCCAGCTGTCTGGGGCCATAGCCTTGGGCTGGACGGCCCCGCTGCTGTTTTCAGAGCCTCTGCCCGCCCCGGGCTTCCTAGCTAGAATCCCCTGTGGAAGATAGCCAAGCATGGTGGGACACTCACCGTAGGAGATGTCCAGGCACTTGCCAGGGTTGGAATGTAAGTCTGATGGAATTGGGACGTGAGCCCTACATCCCCACCCCTAGTTCTCAGTGGATGGAGCTGTAGCACACACTCCTGGAGTTAGCACTGTCCCTTGCCGGCACTGCTCGTAAGGAAAAGGAGCCTCTTGTGAGAACTGTCCCTCCCCAGCACATCAGGCCACCCTGGGCCAGCAGATGCAAGGTCATTAAATCTGGAAGGAGGCACTGGGTCTTTGGAATTGAAGGGCTTTTTGCAGTGCTGATTTCAGCCTTATGGCTGAACTTTTTCCTGTCAACTTCTCTGTGCTTCGGTTCTTGCTTGCAGTTTCTTGTCGTAGAGCCCTATGCTGGCTGCGGAGGGAGCCCTGGCCCAACACACGTGGGCATTCAGGCTCCTGATCAGGTGTCGTCCCCACCCCACACACACCCAGCCTGTCCCCAGGGTGACGGTGCCTCCATTCATCCTGGGCTGACCATACCACACACTAACTTTGTACCTGTCTTGCTTCAGAACCTCCCTGAACTCTGAGCCTCTCAACCCTCTCACATGCAGGTCCCAAGCCAGTGTGTCTCCTGCCAGTGTCACAGTGTAGCCGATCAGCATGAGAAATGACCATGGAGCCCTTTTTCCCCTCCTTTTGTAGAAAATAAATGGCTTAGAGAACTGACTGCTATGGAGAAGGTGGAGGTTCTGTGTCAGAGAAGAGTACAGTGTCTCTCCAGCTCCCTGACCATGGCTTTGTTGCTTTCAGTGGGCGTCAACTTGTTCTACTTCTGCATCATCATTTACCTGTATGGGGACCTGGCCATCTATGCTTCGGCCGTGCCCTTCTCTCTCATGCAGGTGACCTGGTGAGTATCCCCTGCCCCCCATGCTGGCTGTAGCCAGTGGGCCGCCTTGGCCAGTCAGGCAAAGTGTCCAGCATAGAAGCACCACACCAAGCAGGTCCCTGGTCCCCAAGGAAAGTGGATGTCCAGGGCCCTTTTCTACACACAGCATGGCCAGCAGTGCCCTCTGAGCTTAGGAGACATGTCCTGCATTGCTGTCCCCTTCCCTGCCCCAGGAAAGATGGCTTGGACTCCCACTGAGGGCTCCTGAGTCATAAGGAACAAGAGGGGCAGGTCCTAAAGATGGTTTATGGGAGTCATATTGTGGAAGGGTGGCTCTGTCTTTGCCAGCCGAGCAGGGCCACCCTGATCCCAAGCCCGCCACCGCTCTTCATCAGCAGCACCACTGACAATGACTCCTGCGGTGTGGAGACAGACGCCAAGTACAATGACACTGACCTGTGCTGGGGGCCCCTGCGCCGAGTGGACGCCTACCACATCTACCTGGTGAGTGTCCTGGCCAGCCCGGGGTCGCAGGCCGCCCTGAGAGGCGAGCTCTGTAGGCCACCTTTCCTTGCTGGGAAAAGTGTTTCCCCAGAGGGGAGCCTCTGCCCATCTCCACACGCTGGCCGCATGCTGGGGCTTGGCCCTGGCAGAAAACGGATCATGTCATAAGGCTCTAGCTCCAGAGCATCCTGATGACCAGGCTTAAAAGTCAGATGTGGTTTGGACTTGGCATCCAGGTCCTTGTCAGCTTCAGGACCAAGCACCACTGTGGCCGGAATACAGGGTTCCAGGGACACTCTTTGTAAAGCTCTTGAAGAGCGCCTCTTTAAGAGGCCTTCCTGCTTGACCTTCCTCAGGGTCAGCTCAGGAGCACAGAGGCACATGCTGGTCTCCTGACAGGCAGATAACACTGATCCATCTGATGGTGGCCCTGACCCCAAACAGCCTCTGCAGACAGGAAGGATCCCTGTGGACACGGGAAGAAGATGAATCTCCAGGCTCGTTCTTGATTGCTTTGTGCCGTGGTGTGTGGGGGCAGAGCTGGGTGATGTGCCAGAGGGGCCTCGGATAATAAGACACGCACCCAGGGGCAGCATTTATCTCTGCCTGCTTTGTGGGCAGGGCTCAGAAATGTTCCCCTTCAGCCTTTGCAGAGTCTGTTAATATTCTCTGCTTCCTCTTGGTCCTCCTCAGCCCTGGTGCAGACTTCGTGTACTAGATGACACAGTTTGACAAGTGGCCACTTAGCTGGTTTGGAGGGGAAGAAGAGGCCAGGAGCAAGCTGGGCCATTCTAGCAGTGGCCTTTTGACTTGATTACTTCTATCCCGGCAAGGTGTCCTCAGGCCTTGCAACAGTGTTATTTGGGTCTGATCTTGTTCATCCCAAGTGCCTTGCCTGCCCTGCCCTGTAGACCTGCTGAAGGGGCCTGCCCTAGGCCATGGGAGAGGTTTGCTTGCCTCTGTGTTTCTGGAGCAGTGGGTCAGTGGTCTGTGCTGCTCCTCTTGCACATTCAGCTGTGCCTTGGAATTTGTCTTGCAGTAGAATTGTCTTTGATTCTCCCATGACAGGTCTGGTGGGAATCTGGTGGCAAGTTAAATTGTCTGGGCCCTGAGGGTGTAGGGCCAAGTCACTGGAGGCCCAACTGAGGACTTGTTAACCTCTTAGCATTGCAGCACCTCGTGATTAACAAGATCAGCTAAGGTATGAGTGCGTGTGAGGTCCTTCTGGATCTCCCCTCCCTCTGCATGTGGGCAGGGGAGGGGTGGAGGAAGGGCTTCAGGGGCTCCAGGAGGAGTGGCAGCAGCTGAGGTGGGTCTTTACCCGGAAGCTGCTGGAGTCTGCAGACCCGGCCCAGCGCACTCCCCCATAGCAAAATGGACACGGAGCTCTGTGAGTGTCTGGGAGAGCTGCTGCCGTTTGCTTGGTGAATTATTTAGAAGCGTTATTATTGCCTTGTTAAATCGTTCCTATGAACCTCCTACATGATGGAAGCTCCCTCACTGAGTCTCAATAACTCTGACTGCATAGGAGGAAGCCCTCAAGAAAGCAGACAAGCATTAATTACTGCCGTTGTCTCCCAGATATTGCACTTATAACTCATAAAGCTAATTGTCCTAGTGCCTGCAGATGCTCCAGAGCTGGGAGGCCAAGGTGCAGGTCCCAGTGGAAAGACTTGTGACCCCCCTCCCAGGAGCTGTTCCCAGGGCTGTTGGCCCCGTCGCCCCTGTTGCCCCACACTCTCTCTCTGGCTCCAAGGAACTCGAGGCAGAGGGCCTGGGGTAGTCTGGGAAGTTGCTTTACAGCTTTGCGTGTGACTTCAGGGTCCGTGGTCCTGCAGAACAGCAGAGCCTTCTGACCCCAAGTGCTGGTGCCTACATCTCTCTGAAGCTCCTCTCTCCCTTGGTGAAAAGTTGGGAATGGGGTGTGTCAGAGGTGTGGGTTTCCTTCCTCAGACCCGAGCCCTCCTGTAGGTGATGAGGGCAGGGCAGCTGGATTCTAGCAAGTGGCCTCTTTGGGTCCTGGGAGGAGGAAAGCCATCCTTTCTTTCCTTGCCCTTGGTCACTCACACGCAGATTGGCCATCCCTTTTGGAACTCCACCATGCCTCTCTCTGCCAACTGGTTCTGATTTTTCCTCTAGCCAAAAATGCTGGACAGGGCCGCAAGGGGGTAGACTTAAAACACCCTCCTCCCACACAGTCATCTCTGTCTCTGGTAATATACCCCTGCCACGTCTGCATATTTTAAATGGCCCCTTCTTCATTGCTGTCCTGGGACAGTATGCTCTGTGAGATGAAGATACAGGCTTGCATTGTGGCTTAGTTTTCAGAAAGTCCCCTGGAAGCCATCTCTCCGGTCTCCAGGAGCACACAGACGAGACTACCTGGGATAGGAAGTGTCCCTGAGGCCAGGCTTTTCAGGAAGGGAGTTTTTCCCACCAGCAGCTACTAGTTGCCTCCCAGAGCTCTTGACCTTAACAAGTGGAAATTTCTACTTCCTCTATTTGCACCATGGACCCCCTTCTGCATCCCAAGATTCCCAGTGCAGCTGGTAGGAATCAGTTCATCCTTTCCTTCCCCTGCAGTAGCCACGGAGCAGGATGCTGTGGGGTGGAGGGTTCCGCGTCACCTGCTTCACATGCACTCTCGGTGTCCTGCCGTAAGCTGGGCCCTGTTATTATACCCAAGGGTTTCAGGACCTTTCAGCTGCCCTTGGGTTCTCAGGCCCCCGGCACTCACCCATCCTGCTCCTCCAAAGAAAGTAATGGGAGGGCTAGGGCTGGGCTCAGTGGTAGAGCACTTGCCTAGCCTGCGTGAGGCACTGGGTTTGATCCTCAGCACCACATATAATAAACAAATAAAATAAAGGCATTCTGCTCATTTACAGTACAAAAAAAATTTTTTAAGTTCTTAAAAAAAAAAAAAAAAAGAGGAAAAATAAAAAAGAAAGGAAGGAATGGGGGGTTCGGAGCCTGAGCTCTTGCACAGGCAACCCCGCCCCAGGCTGGGAGCACCTTGGGCTCTTTCTGCAGGGCCATCCAGCTCTGATGGGAACAGAGTCAGGACTGGCATTTTGTTCCTTCCTCAGCCATGGAGCCCAGAAGCCAGGGACCCCTGGTATGGTGGTAGGAGTGTGTGCAGGGTCCGCCCAGAACTCAGGCCTGAAGTGTTGCTGTCCCCTGGGGTCAGGGCGCTCCCAGCACTCCTGTTATGCTCCCTTATTCCCGCAGACCTCCCAGCCTGCCGTTCCACCCCTAGCCCAGATTCCATCCCTCCTCCTAGAGTGTCAGAGGAAGCACACAGGGGTCCTAGGGGCTCCCTGTGTGCTGTCAGCTTCTCACCTTTGGAGAAAGCTGGTGGCATCCACCACTTACAGGTGGGCAGGGCTGCTGGTCACAGGCAGCCCAGCCGGCTCTAGCCCAGCAGAGCTGCGAGCGCAGATGGCAGAGCAGAGCTTATCCTGGCTGGAGACCCGGCCACAAACTGGCTGTATTGAGCAGGAGGTCCCTCGTTGGCCGCCTTGGGACAGGACAAGGTCATCCTGGTTTGCTCTCCTGCCTTGAACTCAGGAACAGTGAGGTCCACCTCTGGACATAGGTGACTTAGAAGGGGATGCAGCCTGTAAGTGCCTAGCAGGTGCCCTGCCACCTCTGCAGATGGAGGCCATCTTTCCCAGGCTCCCTCTGGCAGCCCCTTAGAGAAGAGGGGTAGGGTGTGGGAGAGTCCTGCCCACCAGCTTCTTCCTATAGGTGTAGGCCACCCTGAGGTTCAGGCACAGGGCAGCATGGAAGATGGCCCTTGGTGAAGGGCCCAGAGACCATGTTTTCTTCTTCCCCTTGGCTCTGACTCAATCTGCAGTACTGGCCTTTGGCTACAAAATTCCAAACAGCATGCAGCCCCCCTTGTGAACCGCATGGTTTCTTCCTAAAATAGTACTACTCAAGAAAATATCCTCTTCCTAAAGGGGTGGAGATGGGAGGAGCCCCCCATGGTGACTAGTCCTCCTACCTGGGCTCGTGGTTACCACCAGTGATGTGGCATTTCTGATTCAGGCTTCCCAGCCACCCAGGGTGTGGCATCATTTCCTTGCACAGTGGGGAACACTGAGGCTCGGGAGACAGTGGCTTCCTCTGGATCCCAGAGCTGAAGCCCTCAGCCAGGCCCTTGGGGCTCTTGCGGGGTCCTCTTGCCCTATAAAGCAGTCTTGGTGCCCGCGGCACATGCAGGTTGGTGCTATCTGCACACAGAGGTTGGGGGTGGCAGCATCTATGTGCCAGCCTCAGAGCCCGACATATGCCAGGGGTTGGGGCACTGCTGCCTGATGTGGCCTCTGCTGAGTGCTCTGCGTCTGTGCGCCCACCTGTGACTGTGCTGCGCCCTCTCCTTGATGCCCTTGCTCCCAGACGGAGAAGTGGACTTCACTGGTTATTCACGTAGGATTGAAAGTAAGCACCTCTTCCCAAGGACATTCCCTCCCCTGCCATGGTCTCTGTACTTTCAACATCAGCCACTGTGCCCCAGGGCTGTGGCATCTGCTAATAAGTGGGTCACCGCTGCCATTCCTTGAATATTTATTCTCACCAGTTCTGGGGCAGGAGGTGGCCTGGAGGACCAGTGAGGAGGGAATCAATGTGAACCCACACGTCTTAGGAGCAGTGTGATGGCACAGGACATGGGCACTCCGGGTCACAGTGTTGCCCATCATGGTGTGGTACACTCGACCCGTTTTCAGTGGCCTGCTGCCCCCAGAGCAAACAGGTGAACACCACCCCAGATCTGTGCACGAGAACCTGGTGAGGCTGGAGTGAGGGCCCTCCCGAGGGCGTCTGACTCCGTCAGTGGAGCTGAATCCAAGCGTGGGTCTGGGGCCCTTGCCTGGAGCAGGCACTTCCCTCCCCTGTGCGGTGCCCACCCTCCTGCCTGCCTCCCACGGGTTAGGACTCAGTCTGGTGCTAAACCAGAGCAAGTCAGGAGGGCATTCCTGGTGCCTGGGAGGGGCTGA